TTTTTCCCCTCTTTTCCCCCCTTTTTTCTCCCCTTTCCTTTTTTTTCCCTCTCCTTTTTTTCTCCCCTTTTTTCTCTTTTTTTCCCTTCCCCCCCTTTTTTCCTCCCTTTTTTCTTTCCCTTTTTTCTCCCTCTTTTTTTCCCTTTTTTCCCTCCTTTTTTCCTCCCCTTTTTCTCCCTTTTTTCTCCCTCTTTTTTTCCCTTTTTTCTCCCTTTTTCCTCCCCTTTTTCTCCCTTTTCCCCCCTCTTTTTCCCCCCTTTTTTTCCTCCCCTTTTCCCATTTTTTTACTCCTCTTTTTTTCTCCCCCTTTTCTCTTTTTTCCCCTTTCCCCCCTTTTTTTCCTCTCTTTTTTTCTCCTTACTTCCTCCCCCTTTTTCCCTCCCTCTTTTTTTCTTTTTTCCCCCTTTATTTCCTCCCCTTTTTCTTCCTTTTTTCTCCCTTTCCCCCCCTTTTTTCTTCCCTTTTTTCCTCCCTCTTTTCCCCCCTTTTTTCTCCCTTTTCCCCCTTTTTCCCTTTTTTACTCCCCTTTTTTCTCCCCATTTTTTCTCCCTTTTCCCCTTTTTTCCTCCCTTTTTTTCCTCCTTTTTTCTCCCCTTTTTTCTTCTCTTTTTTCCCCTCCCTTTTTCCCCCTCTTTTCTCCCTCTTTTTCCCTCCCTTTTTCCCTCCCTTTCCCACCCCTTTTTCCCCTCTTTCCCCCCCTTTTTTCCTCCCCCTTTCCTCCCTCCTTTTTCCCTTTTTTTACTCTTTTTTTCTCCCCTTTTTTCCTCCACTTTTTTCTCCTTTTTTCTCCCCTTTTTTTCCTCTCTTTTTTTCATCCCTTTTCCTCCCTTTTTTCCTGCCTTCCCCCCCTTTTTTCTTCTTTTTCCCTCCCTTTTTTCCTCCCCTTTTTTCCTCCCTTTTCCCTTTTTTCACTCTCCTTTTTCTCTCCCCTTTTTTCTCTCTTTTTTTTCCCTTTCCCCCCTTTTTTCCCCTTTTTTCTCCCTCTTATTTTTCCCTTTTTCCCTCCCTTTTTTTCCCCCCATTTTTCCTCCTTTTTTCCTCCCTCTTTTTCCCCCCTTTTTTCCCTCCCTTTTTTTCCCCCCCTTTTTTTCCCCCCTCCTTTTTTTCCCTCCCCTTTCCCCCCATTCCCTTTTCCCCATTTTTCCCGGTCTCTCACAGATTTTCTCCCCTCCCAGGACCCCACGGTTTTCATGAACAACAACATCCCCCCGGTGAGTTGATTCCAGCCCCGGGAAAAATCCCGTGGATTTGACTCCACCCCTTTTTTTGGGAACACCTGGAGCTCCCCCTTCCCCTTCCCCTTCCCAGGACACAAACATTTCTCCCTTTTTTCCCCTCACTTTGGGGAAAAAACGACCCCAAAATGATAAATCCTGGGAAATGCTGGCGGGCTGGAGCCTCCCAGGAATTTCCAGGAGGGAATGGTGACTCCTCTTCCCTCTTTTCCCGCCCCCAGCCGGGATTTTGTGCCTCTAATTCCCTATTTTTTCTCCCCCCAAAAAAACAGCTGCTCCCGGAGAAGGAGACGGATTACAGTGAGTTCCCGGGGTTTTCCACGGATCTCCCACCCTGGGGCCGGGATTTGGGATCCTCCCGGGTTTGGGATGCTCCAGGAGGGAATTCCCACATCCCAGGGGGGGATCGGATCCCAGGGAAAGGTGGGATGGCTGGGATGGGACATGGACAGGCTGCTCCGGGATGGGGGGTGTAATCCAGGGGGGCCCACAGCATTCCCAAGGATCCTGCAGCATTCCCAAGGATCCTGTAGCATTCCCAGGGCTCCTGCAGTATTCCCAGGGTTCCTGCAGCATTCCCTGGGGTCCCACAGCATTCCTGGGTTTCCATGGGAGCAGCTGGATTGACTCTTTTTCCCTTCCCTTCCCTTCCCTTCCCTTCCCTTCCCTTCCCTTCCCTTCCCTTCCCTTCCCAAACCTTCCCAAACCTTCCCAAACCTTCCCTTCCCTTCCCAAACCTTCCCTTCCCAAACCTTCCCAAACCTTCCCAAACCTTCCCTCCCCATCCCGCCGGAGCAGCGCAGTTCACGGGGCCCCCCCAGAAGCCTCCAAGACTCGGGGCACAGGTGAGACCCCCTGGATCGGGATTGGGACACCGGGATCCCGCTCCTCCATCTCCTTCCCAGCCCCTCCCCACCCTCCCAGCCAGGAATCCCTTCCCAATCTCCCCCCCAAATCTCCCCTTTCCCACTGGGATCCATTCCCTGGCTCCTGTCATTCCAGGCCCTCATCCCAAATCCCTCTCCCGCTCTCCTGGAGCCCCTTCAGGCTCTGGAATGTTCTCCAAGCTCTCCCGGGATCCTTCCCTTCTCCAGCCTGGCCATTCCCAGCTCTCCCAGCCTGGATCCATCCCCTGCCATTGGATCCATCCCCAGCCCAACTCCTCCCTGGGAAGGAGTTCAGGGAACAAGGGGGTTCCCTGGGAATCTCGGGGCTCAGGGCAGGGTCTCCCTTCCCCTTTCCCGCCTTTTCCATCCCCACATTCCATAAAAACCCCTCTGAGTGGATCCTGAGTGTCCTTTATCCCATAAAAATCCCTCTGACTGGATCCTGAGTGTCCTTTATCCCATAAAAATCCCTCTGACTGGACTCTGAGTGTCCTTTATCCCATAAAAATCCCTCTGACTGGACTCTGAGTGTCCTTTATCCCATAAAAATCCCTCTGACTGGATC